ATTTCAGCCATTTTCATTTGGGATCTGGAATTAAATAGGGACGTGGTTTAAATTGTTTGGCCTGGGACTGCACCTATTTTCTGTGTTTATGAAACATAAAGCCCATTGGGGGATTACCTGATGCACCACTGGTGTTTCCAGGCCTGGCTGAAATGCACCTGCTGTTTCTGTACCTGGGTTAGCCAGAGGTTATAGGTAATAAGTTCTTAATTCAGCCCAGCTGCAGACTGCTTGCTTTTATCACAAAAATGAAAATAATTCTTCCTCTCTTGTTCCAGCATCTTTGTTGACCTTGGCCTTTATGGTCCTCTCCCTCCTCATTAACCCCACGGCCTCTTTTTCCACTTTTGCCAAAGCTTCCTTCATCCATTTGTAGCTGTAACCCTTGACCAGGGCTTTTTGGGATGATTTTCTGAATCCATTAGCTGTCTTGGAGGGAGAGAGAGAGATTTATTTCATTGTTCAGGATTTTCAAGGATTTAAATCTAAGTAACAACTTCTTACCAAATCTATGGAGCTGATAAGTATTCATCAAGTTTTCACTGGTTTTGGTTTTGCTTCCCCCAGATAATCACATGTTGTGCAGTCATTTTTGCTTTTCTTTTAGAGCATACTCAGTTTTATAATAGCAAAAGTTGGTTTTATCTGTAGTTCTGCTTTTAGCCATCAGTCACAGAAATTTCCAAGGTTCATATCTTTATGCCTTAAGGAGTACAGAGCATTATCATTGTCTTCTCCCTTGCTAGTTCTGTATTTCTCTTAGTTTTGTTTCCTGATAATTCACAGTAAATGCAATCATCAGGTGCTCAGGCCATGATAACAGAATTTTGCCAAGGCTTAGACTCTCTCTTTTAAAATCAGTGAGAGAGTTGTGAAACTGAATACAACTGACATGTCTTTTATCCCACAATCCATTATATACTTAGAAGTTCAGGTAAAAAATAACAGGCAACTCCAGATAAACTTCCATTGCATTAGAGAGAGAGTTTTTCTAACCCCTGCCCCATATTATCTCACATACTGTTACTGTTTTCCCTTTAAATAGATTAACCTTTGTGTTTTTAAAAACATTATTTGTGTTTTGGAACTGCCTTGTGACAGTGCTGTGAGTGCTTGGATTTTTGCTTCATCCAGGCCAAAGAGTGAAGGTAAGAGTAGAAGGAGAAGGAATGTTCAAAATTCATCTAAGGCATTACCCAAGGTCCTATAGTATAATGTAGAAAACTGTGTATGCTTCTTCTTGTGATGATTTTGGGAGGAATACAGGATTTTTTATGCTATATCAGATTGTGATACTGCACCCGCCCTATGAGACATTTTTAGCATCATTTTTAATATCTTTTAAAGTTCACATATGCCAGAATTTACACCTCGCAGTGATTAAAGCTTTGCTCAGCTTCTTGTTAGAATCAAACTTGAAAATTACTTTGAGTTGGTTTTTGATTTTCTTTATTGGATATTGTATCTCGTCCAAAATGTATCACTTCCAAGTGTGTGGAATTGGGTGCATATTGCAATAAATGGGAAGTTGCAGGGGCAGCACCTGTGACTCCCAGAGTGCATCTTGATGAGAGACACAAGGGTGTTAGTTAGTGTGTGCACCACACTCATAGCTACTGCCTAAGGCATCTTCTTTCTTTTGGCCAGTGCCTGGAAGGGAAGCTGAGTGAGATGGACCTTCCCACCCACTCTTGCTGTTCCTGGCTTTTTTTTTTTTAAAGCTTTAGACTTCTGCATCTGTATCTGCATGATAAATGCACAGACTAGAGATGTCTTTTCTATCCACTGGTTCTAAGGAAAATCACCATGTCTGCATTAAATCAGAGAAATTCAAGGAACACACAAGGAAACGAATATTTTTTTGCAAGGGATGAGGGTTTGCTTTTCAGCAGATGGCAGTTCCTTTTGGGAAAGAAACAGCATATTTTTATCCTGCAGATTTTCTTCAGGATTTAGGAAAACAGTGCTCTGGCAAGTATCCTCCAATCAACCTAGCATTCCCTCCAAAGTCTGCACTTTTGTGAAAAGCTACTGTGGTTTAACCTGTGAGCAGGAAGCCATGCAGAAAGGAGTTGAGCATTTTTATTTCCCTAAGCAGACTTCCCAGTTTACCCATGTATGTGCTAGTGGGGTAAGTGGCAGGAATGGTGTCTTCCTTGGAGGCTCCTCTTTCAACACTGGATGTACTCAGAGATGTGCTCTGCTTCCCTCTGCAATCCCATGATACTTCTCTATTCTACAGTCCTGTCATCAAGGTCCTATTTTAGTCTGGGCAAGTGTCATGTGAAAGCTCAGGACACCACACTATTTGTGATTCCTGTGTTTATTAGGTAGCTAGACAGGTAGCTTTCTTTTACATAATTAGCACTATGAAGTTTATCAAGAACAACAGAAGTTAAACACCTTTTTTTTTAGTACAAATGTTAGTTATTAAGAAATTAATGAAGAAGTTAATCAGAGAGTATAATTGAATCTGTAATAGCTCAGTAAAGTTCAGATTCCAAGTCCTGGTCTAACAAGATTTGTTTAGATACAGAAAAGTAATCTAAGTTTGAAGTGTCATGTTTTGGGTACTGATTGCTTCCTGGTATGAGTGGCCTCCAAAATGTATGTCTGAAATGCAGTGAACAGAACATGGATTGCCAGTGCAGGTTGACAGAACCTGGTTTTGCAAACAATGGGCTACAGCCATGGGTTTTTTTACTATCAGCTTGGAGAGGCCAGGGTTGAATTAAATTTAATTGCTTTCCTTACCCAAAGTCCAAGTCACGTGGTTGTCACTGCTGTTCTGTCTCCAATTACTCAACTCAGATTAGTCAGACTGAATGAAGACTATACTTTTTTTTTTTCAGTGTGAATAACCTTATATTGATGCTAAACCAGAAATAGCCAAGTCCCAAGAACACCATCTCACCTTCTTTTCCTGAGGGTAATGCCTTGTTCTGGTTGCTCAGGCAGGTGCTGGTGGTAGTTGCCAACCTCCCTCTCCTTTCCACTGGGAGCTGCTCCTTAATTCCCTGTAATGATTTTCCTGCACTGGTTATGCTGACTACAGGAACTATCTGTAAAGAACTGCTGCTACTAAAATTTCTACTGCTATCTTTCTTACTGTAATGATACAAGGCTTTCATGCTTCTGTTAGTTTCCACAGTTAATTAATCTAAGTCTTTCTAATACCTAATATGGTAAGGATAGAAAAGCAATAAACAGGGCAGATAAAGGACGAAATGGTTTAATCTCATTAATTAACAAAATACAGAGTATCCAGGTACAAATATTAGCCCTCTTCTAATCACTGGGAGTTGGATGAGCTGCATAGAGCCAAGAAAATATATCTAAGCTATAAATAAAGGTGTAGTTCAGTTAGTGTGGGTTTTGGTTTTTTCTTTCCTAGTTTTAATAGCAGCTTCACATCATAATTAAGAGGATGAAATTCCTGCCAGCCAAGTACATAGTTTGGACAGATTAAAGGGAAGAGGTATGAGAAATGATAATTGCTTTGTGCTCATCAGACTTCTATTGAAAATCTGACAGGATAATTACAAAATACCTGCTTTGCAGAATGTCTAGGCAAATTTTTAAAGAGATATTTAAAGTTGTTCATTTACAATTTGTCTGAAAAGTTATTTTCCCCCTTTTTCAGGTAGTTCATTGCCATTTAGATGTGTGGTGCATGTTCAAATATAGACCTCATTCTCATGTGCACGCCTGGCTGTGTTCCACTGCCTGCCCCCAAAGAAAATTGCCAGTAATTTTTTGCATTACCCCACATGATTCACCCACGTACTCACCCTCTACTTTCAGCAGAACATTATTTCACCTGATGGAAACTAACCTTGTTGCTTCCAAAAGTCTGAATCATAGTCATAGATAAATTAATTGAGAGAGAAATGTTCCAGTGGACTGTGCAAAAAAACTTTGTTTTGACTGACAGTAAAGAGCTGTTCTACTTTCAGCATGTTTTCATGGCATTCACATGGCTATTCTTCACCTGTTTTTGAAACTTGAAAATGACATTCACTGAATTGCTGATTTTCAAATATTCTAGGCATATGTCCCAAAACCCTACTGATTTTACTGAGAACAAAAAGACCCAGAAAGTCTGACTCTCAACTGAAGTTTACCATAGGAGGTTGTTTGGATCACAAGGCCACGCATACCTGCAGAGAGACAACAGAGTTGTTCTAGGCACTTGGTAGGGCTAGAGTCATCTGGTATTGTTATTATGCACAGTTGAACAGGGATAACCAGTCTCCTAGCTACAGGAGCTGGATTTTCATTTATGGAGGTACTCTAAGCAATGTTTCATGATCCCCTGCCTTGTCGGATCGCACAGAACAGCTCATGACAACATACAGTGAGTTTAGTGCTTTCCAGAACTGTCAGCAATTGCATATCCACTAAGCAGTTCTTGTATCCACATGGTAAATCACTGTCTGTTTTCTGCTCACCTCTCAGGAAGAGGTAATTGGAATTTGCAATTGCTTTTTAAAATTCTCGTGTTTAGTCTCAGATGCCTTCAGACATGACCGATGAGTAGCCTGCAGCTAGGCCAGCTGGTTCTGGCAACCAGTGCAGGCTTTGAGTAACCACCCTTCCCAGGGATGCAAAGACTGTTGTGAGCCCACATGTACAGCTCTCATGTACAGGGACACCTGAATCTTGGTTATATCAGGCAACAGGATGTGCAGACCCTGGAAAGGATGAACATTGATGAACTGCTTTGCTATAGGTCTCTGTGGTCAACTAACTGGTGTATTTACATCATTTCCCAAATGCTGCAAGTCCGTAGCTATAACATTGTGGTATTTAAAGCTTACAGTTTTTATTTTTGTATAAAGTGAAAAGAATGAATTAAGTGCTGGGTATATAACTATTTCTATATTGTGTTCCTTGGTATGTTGAATTACATGTTTCACAAGAAATGCAGACCAGATTGTGTAACAGAGGGTTTTGTTGTATAATTCTAATCTGCCTCTTGCTTCTTTTTCTTTGAACAGTTTATGAAGAACCCGAAGACCCCAGTAATAGATCATTTTTTTCAGAAATTATCTCTTCAGTGTCAGATGTCAAATTCAGTCACAGCGGTAGATACATGTTAACAAGAGATTACCTTACTGTCAAGGTTTGGGATCTGAACATGGAAACAAAGCCTGTAGAAACATACCAGGTAGGAATCTCCTACACCTTAAAATGCAACAATATAAAAGCATCTCACCATTCAAAAGCTGAATGCTTTCCTAAACTTCTCATTGCTTGATCTAAGAAGCAGCAAGCTACGAGAACTGCTACTCAGGGTGGTTAAAATCCTCACAGTGGAATCCTGGTAGAGCAATTTCAGCATTAACAAGGAAGTGTAAAGCCTGGGGAGTTAAGGTAACACTGTGGATTGGGCTCTTGAAAAACTATTCTTCTAACAAGGGAAATCATCTCTTCACTTTGGCATCTGTTTTCAAATGATATATTTCACTATTAACATTTAAAAGTAATTGAGGAAAAGATTTGATGTGTTGCTTAGGACTCTGCTCCTGCTGGGACAGCTGAGAGTTTACACCTTTGTCATTTCAGAACTGCTTTTTAAAACTTCCTCTATGTGTTTCTCCCTTGTGCCTAGTTCTAGAATTGATCAGTGTTAAATCTTGGCATCACCACTGACACAGCAGTTCACAAATGCCAGACAGACGCATCTGGTTGCCTGAATTCATTGTGATATTATCCAGACAAAATGCCAGTGGCTCCAGCCAGCACTAAGTTTGTACTCTGACATCTGTTATGTTTGGCAGTAGAGGGCTGAGCTTATATTTTTTGAATCTGGTTTGAAGGAGGAAAATATATCTGTGACAGAAAGTGCTTGTTATGAAAATGCAATAAGGAAAAACTGTTAAGCTACCTACAGAAGAGTATGCCAAGTAGGAAAAATGTCATTCATCTGGCTCGTGCTGCTTGCTGAGAGACAATTCTGTGACAGTGCTGGATTAGTCCCTTGTTTTCTGTGTCTCTATAATGGCAGGTGGGGTACAGTAGTTCACAGTAACTATAATTAAGATTGGTTTTAAAATAACACGTGATGAGAGTTTGGTAATGTGTCTTGTCAAAACAACCAACATTTTCCAGTATGTGTTAGCTAATATTTAGTAGACAGAGTGGGCCCTAGTGTGTTCCAATGCACCCGTTACATTTCAGTGGATAATCTTCAGTGTGGCTCCTGTTAGTATTGGAAAGTCTGAGCCTCTGTTCCTTTAAGACTGTGGAATTGTTTTTGCTCTTAAAATGGCAGCACTTGTAATGCTAAATGTGTTAGAAATGTTGATATGCTGTGAAAATGGAGTGGGAGGGGAAGGGCGAGACTGTGCTTTATATAACAGAATTGTATCTCAGATTTTGGGAACTTAGGTAATAGATTATTTTATACTGATGCTAATTTAGTAGGCAGCCTTGTCCCTGGAGAGGAATAGCTGGTCAAGTCAACCTGTTTGTCTTGACTTTGACACTTGCTTTTATTTCATCATGTAGGTAGCTGTGAAACAAGCTGGCCACCTTTAAATCAGTCTGACACCAAGCAGTGGGGTCAATTAAAAAGTTATATTTCTTCATGCTGAGATGGAAAAAATTAGTATAATGCAAATTTTCAGTATTGATAGTTGCAGTTGCTTATAGAAAAAAAAGACAAGATCCACAAAAACAAAACCCCTGCTTACTGCAGGCTTACTGCCTTACTTTAACCTATGGATTGCCTTTCATTTTCAAATATTTAACCAGTGCCTTGTAAAGAATATACAGATGTGTTTTGGAGCATTGCAGTGGACTAAAGGAGAATCTGGAATTCATGGGGCCTTAGGAAGCCAACAGTACAGGACTCCATAGGATTCATGTGGTCCAACAGCTCTGAGCAAACTTTCAGGTTTTCAACTGCAGAGAGTAGAGAATTCTGTTCTAAGAAAAAGTGGTTTAAATTACGCCCAAATAATTTGTTTTAGAGGTATCTCTGTCTCACATACCTAAATCTTATCTATTAGAAATCTCTCTAAAGGTTTTTTGTGGTTGATCGCCTGAAAACAACAGATAAGCCTAACATTTTCAGTAATGTATCCACATAATTATGATGACATATGTATCATTAAAATATTAAAAGGTGTTCATTAAAAGATTGACTTTCTCATTTAATCCACTGCATGGTAGCCACTTAGATATTGCCTAGCTGTGAGACTCATGAAGAGGATCACAACAGGAGATTTCACACAGAGTTGCAAGAAAGAACAAAGTCTAAAATTGTAATGCTTCATTATCAGGGTACAATTTTAGTGCTAAAAAACCCCAACAACAAGCAAAACCAAATTCCTCATGCAGGTTCTTTTTCATATCAGTGCTGTGGCTCAAATATTGCTATTGCACAGGGTAGCTGTTGCAGCCCTGATGAAGACATTATTTGCTGACAGTGTTTCATCATGATTTTCTTCTGTTTATGCTTCACACAAAAGCAAAAAGGGCAATGTATGGTCACTGGGCAGCACTAAAAGAGCAATGCAGTGCAATGACCAGTGCTTGAGTGCTGCAAGGCAGCTCTGCCTCACAGGTTATTCTTCTGATGCTGCCAGGTGAATTACCCCAGCAGAACCTTAGCAGCAGCAAGGTGAACACATCCATAGCTTGATCCACTTTTGGCAGGGTCTGTACCATATGGATTTGGACTACTATGTCATTTACCAGTGCAGTTCCTGATGGTGTCTGTTCAGTCCCAGTAAAATAGCTCTGTGTGTAGGTGTGTTGCTGTGTTAGTCTGGAACATGGAACTGCTAGGTAATTTCATGAGGGTCTGGCCTAAAATATTGCAGTGAAGAAAAGGTGAATGCCTTTGGTAATTGGGAGTGAATTTGGTTTGGATTCAAGCACTATTCATATATGGTAAGAACAGTATGCAACAAACAAGGCAAATCTGATCTTACCCTCAGTTGGGAGTGTTAGATGAACATGCAAACAGGGTGAAAATTAAGTGTTTCTTTCAGTTAGTTTTTCATAGTCACTCTGAGGATCTGAATGTGTTCAATGTGGTAATCAAGAGGTCCACATGAAGAGCAAGGTGACAGTCTTGACTTGACAGGCACTCAAGGAAAAGGAGCTGAGGCCTTGGAGAGATCAGTAAGACATCTGAGAGAGAAATTGCAAAATGCTTCTTGACAGAGCTGATAGGAAGGCACAGCTCCAAGCTGTGGAGTTGGACACACTTCTCAAAGGGTGTGTACATGACAGTGGTCAGGACAGATGGCTGCTGGAAATGGTAACAAGAGGAAGATCTAGAAATGACAGTCAACGAGGCAAACATGATGTACTTCCTTGTGCCTTACCCAACCTTTCTATTTCTTCCAAGTGTTGGGAACTCACAAAGATGTTAAGGGAAAGAAGTCCAGTTATGTAACAAATGACATTCCTAACATAAAAAGGCTTTAAATAAAGAAAAAAATGAAAGGATTTAATTCCAGAGAGTGCAGGAAACTGCATTGGTACTAAAAGTGTTCTGACCTATTGCTCATCACAATGGTAAATGCATTTAATTGTGAAATAGTCTATCTGCATCAATCTATTTGCTGATTATTTGCTCTATAAAATTTTATCTCTTCTGTACAGTTCAGTGTTCATTCACCTATTAATAAAAATTGATTGATAACTAATGTTATAATCCTTAATAACCTTACATTCCAAATATTCATAGGATACTGTGCGATTTGGCTATTTAAAATGGGTTAGTTTAAAGAAGAAATAGGTGAAAAGTCATTGTCCCTCATCTAGTCTTGATGGAAGTTATTTTACTAGAAGAAATATTTGTGCCCTCAGGCCAGAGGAGGATGCTGAGCATCCATGAGCAGGAACAGTTTCACTGGACTTGCAAGAACCAGTAAACTCAGTATGCCAGAGCTAAATTATGCCCCTAGGCGATTGGGTTGGTGTGTTCTCCAAGAGCATCTTTGATTTAGGGTTCTACAACAGCTACGCAAAAAGTTCAGGAGTGGAAGTGCATTAATAAATTTGTCTAGGCAGGGATTTATTATTTCCTTGTGGAATGATACCAATCATCCCAAACTAATCAAATTCAGCAAAGGATTGAAACAGTTTGCATGAGATCTCTCTATGATAACCCTTGCTCAGCAGAGATGTGTGGCCCAGAGGAGAGAGGTCTTCTGCAGGTTTGTCCCACTTTTCAAGTAAGTAAGTGAGAATTTACAATGTTGTTTTTAAGTCTCAGCCAAATAGGAGATATCCTTGGGCTAAGTGTTCTGATTTTCAGCCTGTGCAACTACAACCTTGTACTGTATTTGGATTCTGAAAAACGTTGCACAAATATATGTTATACCATGCCCCACAGATTCTTTTAATAGAGCCAAGTTCTTTCTGCCACAAGTGAGAGTCCTCTTATCTTGGAATATGACATTTTTGTTACTATTTAAATTAGATTTCTTGCACATTAATTAGCACATCTAGGGTATCAGCTGGTGAAATGTCTCTGGGAATTAGGCTAGCACTGAGAAAATCACCCAAGCAGGAAACAAATATGTTGAAGAGGGGTGGTCTGCAACCTGCTGAGGGAAGCATGCTTTGTGCCTTCCTGCAGCAGTAATTCTGCAGCACCTGGTTAATTGGGCTGTGGAAAAGTACAGATAGCTTCTCCAGAGTTTAAACACAGTATCTTCTGCAGAGCTACCAATCTGTGCAGCATATTTCAAAAGTGAATGTGGGAGATAAAGCAGAGAGTGGGGGGCTGGTTGTGGAGTTTTGTATTTTCTTTTATTTCAAGATTAACAATTACTTTCTTTGAAACAGGTCCATGATTACCTTAGAAGCAAGTTATGCTCCCTCTATGAAAATGACTGCATCTTTGACAAGTTTGAATGTGCATGGAATGGATCAGACAGGTAATCCATCCTTATGTCCATCACTGTCTTTGTTTAGCAAAAGAGCTCCCATATGATGGGGAACAAACTGAAAGTAGTTGCATGGGGTTATTTTCCACATCAATGTGCAGAATCACACACCAGTGTTCAGGTTGATGAAAGATGTTTGGATATTTGTGCAGTTGTGTCTCTGACCTCCTCAGGCATGATGTATGCCTTACTGATCTTGGCTCATGCCTTAGGGGAAAAAAAACCCTTCAAATTATGTCCGTTTTCACCAAAATCATAAGTAGGCTGCAAAAGTTAAAAAGAATGCTGACAACTTGCACAGTCCCACCAACACACTACGGAAACTTGTGTGATTCTGTATTTGCACATGAGCTGCCTCAGAAATTCACTTCATTTACTGGAAACAGAGTGAGGAAAGACAGTCACAGGCACCCACTGATTCTCTGCAAACTGCTGCCAAATGACACTTCTGATACCTCCCTCCATCAGAGCAGTCTC